AGCCCAGCTCCAGGTTGAGCTGTTGTTCAGCATCTTAGCTGTGGAGGGCAGTGTCACTGGCCCTCATATGTGGGATCCGAACCGGGGTCCTCTGGGGCCCCAAGCCAGTTCTTAACCATCGCGCCACTCGGCCGGCCCCTCATAAATTTTTTTTTATATTGACTATGTGTTGTAGTGATAACACTGCATGTTTTGGGTTAAACACATTAAAATTAACTTCACCTGTTTCTCTGTACTTTTTAAAAACGAGGCTTCTAAAAGACTTAACATTAAGTATGTGCCTTGTATTATATTCTTATTGGTCGAGACAGCCTTCGATAACGGTAGAGATAAACTACAGAAAATCTCAACAGGATTCCGGAGGATCTCAGGTGCCACTGCCCACCCAGAACACACTGCCCTGCCGGCGACTTGGGGTGGACAGGAAAGTTGAAATCACTGTGGGCTTTCAATGGTTGTGATATGCCCCCCGCTCACTCCTCAGGTCCTTGGGCCCTCATTTACTTATCAGCCAAGCCCTTCAGAGAGAATGTTAGGTCCTCGCCCACCATGTGTCCTGAGCTCACAATACAAGTTTGGCAAACATACTAAACCAGGGTGCCAGTGGCAGCCAGGAGAAGTGGAATGCATAGAGGGGGCGCCTAGTGTGCCCAGGGTGCCTGTGACAGGCAGGGCACACAGGAGTCCTCAGTGCGGACTCTGAGTTGGCTCCCGGCACACACCATGTCCAGGATCCCATGGCCAGCATGGCCTGCCCCAGGCCACAAAAGCTCCCACTGTCTGTAAGGCAAAAGACAGACACAGTCTCGTTTGTTCCTCTAAGATTGCAACCTCTGTCTGATCAAAACAAAACAGGCAACTAATAAAGGAGGCTGCCTTTGGGACACTACTAGCCGGGCCGCCAACTCCTAGAGAGGACGGATAAAAATCACAGGACAGTCACCATCTGACCCAGCAATTCTACTCTACTCCTAGGTATATGCCCAGAAAACTGAACACCCATATCCACATAGAAACCTGAACACAAGTGTTCACAGTAGCAGGATTTTCAACAGCCCAAAGGTGGGAACCCATGTCCATCAGCAAGTGATGGATATACACACACACACAATGTGATCCATCCACACAAGGGAATGTAATTTAGCTTCAAAAAGGAGTAAAGTCNTAACTGTAATTTTGCTACTGTTATGAATCGTAATGTAAATATCTTTTTGTTTTCCGATGGTCTTAGGCGACCCCTGTGAAAGGGTCATTCAACCCCCAAAGGGGTCGCGACCCACAGGTTGAGAACCGCTGGACTAGGGAGAGGGAGTCCTGAACTTGCCAGTTGTGTGTCTCTATGAGACCATGAGAGGCAGGGCTTCTGGCCTCCTGCCTTCCCAGTGAACAGGCCTTCAGGGGGTCACCCCAGCATGAACACAGCCTGCTACTCTCTGCTCTGGTCACAAATCCCCCCTTTATGGTTTGTCCAAGCCCTGTGACTAGGCTTCTAAGGCCATGAAAATGGCCCCCACACTGCCTCCCTCCTCCAGTCCTGCTGCCCCCTTGGCCACCAGCACTCATCTCCTGACCTGACTGAGGTCTGACCCTCACACCTCTCACCACCCACAGAGAGCCCAGCAGTCAGTCAGGAAAGGAGGCAGAAAACTACCTGCCGAATTGCGAATTTCAGCATGGCCCCTTGAAACCTTGTTTTCTTGTCTGAACATTCTGTGCAGACTTGAGACCCAGGGGCCTAGATTTGAATCCCAGCTCTGCCACCAGTGGGCTGATCAAGGGCCACCTCACTTCACTTGCATGCTCTCCCCCATTTCCAAGCAGGATGAGGCAGGGCGCCCTGGAGGCTTGCTGCAGCCTCTGTGAGGGAATGAAGGTGTCATCTTACTGTGTAGGCGTGAACTCAGGTGCTCAAATGGTGTCAACAACAGAGTGAGCCCAAGCAGAAGGCCTGGCTGGGCCTGACACCTGCTGTGACAACTCATGGGGAAGTTCAGTGCCTCCCTGTTGTCCACCCAGTGCTGGGAGGCGACCCCAACACCCATTATGGGAAGAGGAACATGAGATGTGTGCCAAGAGAGGTTGTGGGGTGTATACCCACTCGGGGACCCTTCCCAGAGGGATACAGACACAGGAACCCCCCACTGAAGGGCCCTGGGCAAGGCTCACCTGCCATTTCCGCTGTGATGACCCGGTGGAGCTGAAGCCTGCAGCTACCTGGAGGGGAAACAACCACAGTCAGGGGGTCCCCATGGCTGCTGAGTGACCCTGACACCAGCTGCAGGCCCGGTTGGCTACTGCAGGTAGTGTCTTAACTGCCAGACTGTCCACAGGGATGTCTGGGCTCTCACCTGAAAGGCCACCCCAAATGTGTGACCCAGCTGTTACCTCACCTAAGAGCCCCCTGGACTGCATCTGCGATGGCAGGAGGGGAAGTATCAGACTGCAGCCCCCTGCCACCCACAGCCCAGCCTGGAGCCAGGCCGCTTTTAGGATCCCAGTAACTACCCCTACTGCCCTCGCACCTCATCATCCTTCCTAACCCTTTATCCACAGATGGCTCTGAGAGTCTCCTTATGGCTACAGCACCCGCCTTCCAAGTCACCAAGCCTGGGTTCACATTCATTGCTGTGTTACCTCAGACAAATCACACAACCTCTCTGGTCTGTAGTTTTCACCCTTGTGAGCCTTACAGAGCCAAGGACCCCACTGCAACCCAAGTGAAGCTCCTGGAGATGCACTTGGCACTCAGCAGCCCTACTTAGGAGCTACGTGAGCTTGTGTCACAGAACAGCCCCACACTCCAAGCCACCACCAATGCACACAAGTAAGCAGAATGGTTGGATCCACAAGGGCTCTGCTGGTGGATGGTGCCATCCTCAGGAAAGGGGCCCACCCGGCCTACAAGGCACAGCTGGGCCTGTACCATCCCAATACCTGGCACTGGAGCAGGCAGTGAGCTGTGCCTGGGGCCAGGTGAGACAGTTCCAGCAATGTCGAGTTCCTAGGGCCGCAAACCCCCAGCTCAGCAACAGCCCCGCTGAGACGCTCCATGTGGCCCTGGCTGACCCTCCCTGCAAGCCTGGTGGCCTCACACACTACCTATGTCTGTCCACTGCCCTGCCTGCCCTGCCTCCACAAGCTGGGAGCATCCCCCAGCCCGCGGTTCCAGGTTAAGCTTGGGACAGAAATGTCCCAGGGCCCCTGCAGTGCCCATATGGTCAGACAGTGCATGTCTGCTGGATGGACAAATGGCCCGCTCCAAGTCCCTCACAAACACATTGATTCTAGTGCTAACTGCTCTATGGCAGACCCCCACTGGTTCCCTTTGGGGACCCTTCTGGCCACCTGGGAAGGACGGGAAATGGGACAACCCCAAAGGAACAGTTCGGTCAGCTGAGTTCAGACACACCCTGGCTGGCCACACCCTTGCAGACCCAGTACACACACAGGGCTCTGCTCATACTCAGTTCAGAAGTCCCCCATCCGCTATGTACACCCAGGCCCTCAGTGGAAGTGGCCCCACAACTCTGTCAACAGACACCGACCTGGTTTCATGGTTGTGTTTATTTTCACAGGTCAGACCTGAGACAAAGGGGACACTATCCTAGTGGACCCATGGCCTCAGGGTGGAGATGTCCAGAGAAGCGAGGCCCAAATACCCATCGATGAGGCCCAGCTGGACCCCCATTATGCTCCAGCCCAGGGAAAAGCTCAGACTTAGCAGAAACGTGGCCCCACGTGCTGGCAGAAATGGTGGAGCTCCAGGGCTGGGAGGCATGAGTGTCACTGAAATCCATAGTCAGGACTGAAGCCCCTGGATGACAATGAGGGAGCTGGGGCCACGTGGATCCAAGAGAAGGCTGAGGCTGGCAAAGCAGAGGACGGTTCAGAGCTGGCAGCCATAGCCTACGTGTCTGGGTCCAGCCGGCAGCACTGACTCTCCAGCACGCCACGGAACACCTGGAAGCGGTGGTTGAGGTCGGGTTGGGCATGGATGCGAAAGCGGGTGCCCAGGCCACCATCAGGTGAGGGTGCCCCGTAGAAGACGCGCTGTACGCGGGAGTGCACCAGGGCCATGGCGCACATGGCACAGGGTTCACGGGTGACGTAGAGGTCGTAGCCGGTGCACACGTAGGGGAGGCTGTCCTCATCTGCTTCCATGTCCGCATCCTCATCCAGCTTGTGCATGGGGCCCACCCGTACGCCCTGGGGAGTGGCGGCCTGGGCAAAGGAGCAGGCGGGGTGGGGCTTGAGGTCGTAGGTGCCACGGCCCTGGCCTTGAGCTACCAGATCAATGCACACCATGGTGGCATGCAGCAGGGGGCTGGTCGCGCTGCTGCAGTCGTGGCCCGTCGCCAGCACACAACCTGAGGTTGGGTCCACCACCACAGCCCCCACGGCCCTCAGGCCCCTGGCAGCCGCTTGCTGTGCTGCCCACACAGCCCGCTCCATGTGGCCCTGCATCACAGCCTGCTCTTGAGCTGAGAAGAGCCGCCCGGCTAGGGCACGTGTCATGTGCTTGTCCTCATGAAAGGATGTGGGCCAGTGGGCGCGTGCCTCCTCGAACTGGCCCCTGGTCAGGGGTGGCCGGGCAGGCACAAGCACCAGGAAGGGCTGCCCCAAGCCTCGGAGGTCCACAGCTGGCTGAGGGAGGAGCTCAGCCAGCGATCGCATGCCTGTGGCCGGTCCTGCTAGGCATAGCAGCATCTCTAGCATGTGTGGGTGGCTCGCATCACGGCTTGGTCGCACCCTCTTGAGGTGAGGCTGGGCAGTCAGTGGGTGGACAGCTGACACCTCCTTGAGAAGGCGTGAGGTCTGGCACTTGTCAAGGATGGGCGCAGCGTAGGCCAGCACCAGCTCCACACCCCTGGACTGCTGCTCTGACAGGACTGGGAGGGCTTGCCACGGTGTGGGCTCTGGCTCCAGGCTGCCAACCTTCTCATCCCCATGCTGCTCCACGCCGCCGGAGGGGTCTGTCCTCCACATGGCTCCGACTGTGGGAGACAGATCGGAGCAGAGCGTCATCCGTCAGCAGCAGGACGCTCGGAGAGCTGAGGAGTCCGTCCCAGGAGGGTTCCGAATCTGAGGGCTCATCCGAGAGCTCCAGCCCAAGTACAATGCATCACTGGTCATGCTCTCACTCACATCCTACCAATTCTTGGTTTGCAGAGTTTAAACTAACACTGATTTTTTTTTTCCACCCCTCCTTTGAGATATGCTGTAAGCAAAAATGCACACTGGATCTCTGAGACTTAAAATGAAAGAACACAAACTATCTCATAAATTTTTTTTTTTAAGATTTTTATTGGGGGGATGGGAACAGTGCTGGGGAATTGGGGGAAGGGGAACAGACAAGTTGTTGTCGTTTTGTTCTTCAGTCTAGTTGTGGAGGACGTTGCTTCACTGGCCCAAGTTGGCACCATCATTGCGCTCTTTCCGGGTGAGGCA